TCTTTTTTTATTTCTGAGGTTTTTTTTTTTTTTTTTTTTTTTGGTACCGGGCATCAAATTTGGGCCCTTGTGTTTATGAGGCAAGGTTTGGAACCACTAAGCCAAATACCCAGCTAAGACATCTTTATTTTGAAGCACATTTTATTTTATTTTTTGGTACCAGGGATTGAGCGTGGGACCTTGTGCTTGCAAGTCGGGTGGTGGAACCACTGAGCTAAATCCCCAGCCCCTATTTTATTTTATTAGTACTTGTATGTACCATATAATATTTACATTGCTTGTGTGAAGTCAGCACATGTGCAGAACACATTTTCATTCTTTTCTTCATCCTCTTTCCCTTCCCTCCCTCCTCCCTCCATCTCTGTTTTTTTGAACAGGGTCTCACTGTGTAGCTCAGCCTGGCCTCGAACTCATGGTGATCCTCCTGAGTGCTGGGACTACAGGCGTGCACCACCATGCCTGGCTTCCCTCAATCTCTTGATTCTTTTCCCCTTTGACAATGATCTGTCTCCTTACTTCCTGTAATCTTTTGTTTTTATGTGCTTTATTTTTACTCTGGATTTCTCATATTAGAGAAACCAAGTGATATTTAAGCTTATATGTCTTATTTCACTAAAGATTGTGGTCTTGGGCTGGGCATTTAGCTCAGTGGTTCCACCACCTGCCTCGCAAGCACAAGGTACCAAATTTTGTCTCAAGGTGTAACATTTTTCTACAGAAAACTCATGTTTATCCTTCTTTGTGGTAGAGTAGTACTCCATTATGTGTAAAGACCACATTTTCCTTATCCATTCATCTGTTGATGGACATATGGGCCACTTCCAAGATTTAGCTGTTACGAATTGTGCTGCTATAAACATGGATGTGCATGTGTCACTGTAATGTGTTCTTAACTATTTTGGGAAGACACCTAGGAGGAGCGAAGCACATTTTCACCCACTATAGAGTTTTTGGTTGATACCAATCTTTCAGCAATTTAAATAAGGATTTAGTTCTGTTGCCTTCTAGCTTTGATTATTTCTGATTCAAAATCTGCTGTACATTTTTTTTTTTAGATTGTATGTTGTTTGGTTACATTTAAGGTTTTCTATGTTTGATTTTTTCAGTAGTTTGTCCTAAATTCCATGTTTGTTTTTAATTTTTTGTTTCTAGCTTGAGGTCTGTAAAGCTTCTTGAATATGTATGTTGTTGAGTGTGTTTGTCAATTTTGTTTTGTTTTTTATTTTTTTGAGATAGGGTCTCACCATGTAGTTTAGGCTGTCCTTGAACTCACTATGTAGCCCAATGTGGCCTTGAACTCACTGCAATCCTCTTGCCTCAGCCTCCCAGGTAGATGGGATTACAGGCATTGCCATTTGTCAATTTGTTTGTTTTTGGTACTGGGAATCAAACTCAGGACCTTGAGCTTTTGAGGCAGGCGGTGGCACCACTGAGCTAAATCCCTGGCCCCTTTGTTTTGTTTGCAGTTCAGTCTGGCCTTAAACTCACTATGTAACCCAGGTTGGTCTTGAACTCACAGCAGTCCACCTGCCTCAGCCTCCCAAGTGCTGAGATTATAGGTGTATGCTACCATGCCCTGCCAATTTATTGAATTCTTTTTTTTTCTTTTTTTCTTTTTTGGTACTGGGGATTGAACTCAGGTCCTTGTGCTTGCGAGGCAGGTGCTGGAATCACTGAGCTAAATCCCTGGCCCAATAGTATTCTTTACATTTCTTTTCTTTTCTTTTCTTTTTTTGATACCAGAGATTGAACTCAGGTCCTTGCTCTTGCAAGGCAGACATTGGAACGACTGAGCTAAATCCCCAGTCCTTGTTTTTTTTTTTTTAAGGCAGGGTCTCACTATGTACTTGAGACTGACCTGGAATTCACTATGTAGCCCAGGCTGGTTTTGAACTCACAGCAATCCTCCTGCCTCAGCCTCCTGAGTGCTGGGATTACAGGCGTGCACCACCATGCCCAGCTTGAATTCTTAATATTAGTTATTATATGTCTTAGTTCTAGAATTTCTATTTGATTATATTTCATTGATTCCAGTTATTTATAATGGTCTTCAACCTTTTTTAAAATTGTGGTTCTGAGGATCAAATGCACAGCCTTGTTAGGTATTCCACCACTTATTTACACCTCTAGCCCTTCCTTCCTTCCTTTCCTTCCTCTTTTTCTCTTTCTTTCTTGGTTTTTTTGAGACAGGGTCCCATCGTGTAGTTCAGGCTGACCTTGAACTGTGGCAATCCTCTTGCCTCAGCCTCTTGAGTTCTGGGATCACGGGTTTATGCATCACAGCCAGCATCATGGCTACTTAAAATTTCCTGTGTGATAAAATTTTTGTTTGTATTTTCTCTTGATTTCCTCTACTTTGGCTCTGTTACTTTGCTTACCTAGTAATTTGTGTTGAACATCAGCATGAAATATGATTAAATTGCAAGGCCCTGGCTGTGTTTGTCTTCCTTTAAGGAAAAGAGGGAGGGAGAGAGAGGAGAGGGAGAGATTTTTTTCAGACCATCTTGATTTAATTGAGGGTGGGTATTGTTAAGGTGACTCTGGCTAGTTTTCACTTATTCCCAAGCTGTTTTTCTTATGTTCTTATACTTGTGGCAGCGACTTTACTCCTAGGAAGTGTTTCTTACTCATAGGGCTAGCCGCATGAGTGGTGATTACAGGCGTGCACCACCATGCCCAGCTTGAATTCTTAATATTAGTTATTATATGTCTTAGTTCTAGAATTTCTATTTGATTATATTTCATTGATTCCAGTTATTTATAATGGTCTTCAACCTTTTTTAAAATTGTGGTTCTGAGGATCAAATGCACAGCCTTGTTAGGTATTCCACCACTTATTTACACCTCTAGCCCTTCCTTCCTTCCTTTCCTTCCTCTTTTTCTCTTTCTTTCTTGGTTTTTTTGAGACAGGGTCCCATCGTGTAGTTCAGGCTGACCTTGAACTGTGGCAATCCTCTTGCCTCAGCCTCTTGAGTTCTGGGATCACGGGTTTATGCATCACAGCCAGCATCATGGCTACTTAAAATTTCCTGTGTGATAAAATTTTTGTTTGTATTTTCTCTTGATTTCCTCTACTTTGGCTCTGTTACTTTGCTTACCTAGTAATTTGTGTTGAACATCAGCATGAAATATGATTAAATTGCAAGGCCCTGGCTGTGTTTGTCTTCCTTTAAGGAAAAGAGGGAGGGAGAGAGAGGAGAGGGAGAGATTTTTTTCAGACCATCTTGATTTAATTGAGGGTGGGTATTGTTAAGGTGACTCTGGCTAGTTTTCACTTATTCCCAAGCTGTTTTTCTTATGTTCTTATACTTGTGGCAGCGACTTTACTCCTAGGAAGTGTTTCTTACTCATAGGGCTTGCCTCTTAGTCCTGTCCTAAGGAGTTGCCTTGGGAGGCTTCACCTGATAGCCTGGGACATTTACCTCAATCTGACACCTTGAGAAAACTTGAGTCCCCACCTCCAGCACTCTAGCACTGTGAGCTTGTTGACATCTGATTGCGCTTGGTTTGTGAGAGTCTTAGCCTGCTTGTGCACAGTTTAGGGTTTTGGTGATGCTTAAAGAGGAAATTGCAGACAGAATTTTGGGCCAATTCTCTGTAGTTCCCCCTATCCCTTTAGGTCTCAGTCCTGTTGGCCACATGAAAATTCTAGCTCTCTTCTGTTCTCTCCTTATCCTTCTCTTCTTTTGTTTCTTTCATTTTTTCACTCAGTCCAGTAAGGTTTTCAGACCTTCTATTTCACTGGAACTCCTCTTCCAGATCCCCAGTCCTTTCCTATTGCTAACTCCAGTGATCGCTTCTCCATCCTTTTCTTCCCCGATCTTCGAACCAACCTTCGAACAGTAGTTAGCTGAGTTGTCACTCCCTCTTCCATGCTCCTTTGCTTGGCTTCTGGTACTGCATTCCTGGTTCTTTCCCAGGCTGACATTCCTGTTCCAACCCCTGTGGAGCTGCACTCCTTACTTCCTTCGAGATCTGCTCACAGGTCATTTTGGGAGACCTTTTCCTACTACCTTAGGGTTGAAGATTCCAGCCTCATTCTCACCCTGCACTCTATGTATTGTACTTATTTATTTGAATGTTGCTTATTTACTCCCAGCAGAAGTAAACTGTGTGGGAAAAGTTTTTTTTTTTCCTCCTTTTTTCTTAACTGCTGTAACCTGGTGCCTGGAACTACATGTAGTATAGTAGGTATACAATAAATATTGCATGAGTGATTCACCAAATATTTATTAAGCACATCCTGTACTTCAGAGTCTGTGATAAGAATGTATCATTAGTCTAAGGCCTAAAATTAGAAATACTTCTATGCACCTGAGGATAACACTGAAATTTTTTTGTTGTTGTTTTTTGTTTTTTGAAACAGGGACTCACTGTGTAATTGAGACTGACCTGGAACTCACTATGTAGCCCAGGCAGGACTCAAACTCACAGTGAATCTGCTGCCTCAGCCTCCCAAGTGCTGGGATTACAGGTGTGCGCCACCACACCCAGCTAACATTGAAATTTAGTATTGGCGTATAACATATGAAGGCATGTAGTTGAATGAGGCAATATTTGAAATCAATGAAAATTTCCTTTTTAAGTCTGAACAACTTTACTAATAACTTTTTTTCTAAATGTGAAGTCTGCATTCTACTTATGTGAAGGTGTTGACACCATTTTTGTGGGTTTTTTTTATGTGTGTGTGTGTGTGTGTGTGTGTGTGTGTGTGTGGCTTTTATTTCTGATTTACAGCAAGCTGTTGAGGAGAAAAGGGGTATCTCTGGATATAGTTACACCCAGGAAGAGCTAGAGAGAGTGTCAGCGCTGAAGAGTGAAGTCGATGAAATGAAGGGACGCACGTTGGATGACATGTCTGAAATGGTGACTATGCTTGCTTTTCCCTTTCTTTACAATCTTCTAGTGCTAGAAAGCAGGTGATTTTGTATTTTGCTTTCAGGGAAACATTGAAAATTTCATCTCTGCTCAAGACTTCTATTCTTTAATCTGTTTTTAATCAATCTTATTTGAATTTCTCCATTCTAATGAGACTGTTAACTTCTAGTAGTTTATGCATTTTGTATTCTTTAATTTATAAAAGTTATATAACACTAAGGAAATATTTATAATAAAAATAAATTTCTCCAAGTCATATTACCCCACCTAACAAAATATTTCACTTTTTGTATATGTCCTTAGTATCTTTCTATATACAAGGCTGCACCTCAGCAGAAGACACTGGTACATTCTCATCACACGTATAATACTGAAATCTTTCCCTTCCTTGTTGCTAAATAACTGCTGCCTGAAACTGTCGGTGTCGCCTTGTCTACTTTGGGCATTTCCCTAGCACCTTCTGGATTTTAGAAAACCTAACTCCTCAGAAAATTAGTATTTAGTACAAAAGAGAACTTCAAGCCCCTGTTCCTTATGATTAGTATCCCGATTGGTAACTACTTATGGCATTCAAATTATAAAGTACTGTGAAGATCATTCCATCTATATTTATGTATATTTTATATGACCTACATAGCTACCTATATTTGTATATAACACAAATATAGTAATTATACAGAGGCAACTTTGCTGTTTATTTTATTAATTTAATAATAGATTAAATTATTTTCCAGTCTTGATAACTGAAATTTTAAATGCATTTTGGTTAAATGGTACTCCATCTTACTGAGGAATAAAAATTTACTAAGTCCTTTTCACAGTGTTTGGCATGGAAATAATTTACAGTTTTTACTCTTTAACATTACAAAATCATTTTTATGCATATAGTATTTTCTCTTTTGAATCTTTTTAAACACATCATGAATTTTATTAAATGGCAGGTAAAAAAACTGAATTCCCTGGTATCTGAAAAGAAGTCAGCCCTAGCCCCAGTTATAAAAGAACTACGCCAGTTGCGTCAGAAATGTCAAGTAAGTGAATTTGATTTTGTGGGTTTGTTGGGTTTTTTTTAGTGTTCCACTATCGGGTATTCTACTTGGGTAATTACAGAAATCAAATTATTACTGTTATTTTCATGTGGTTCTGCAAAAAAGAGTAACATGACCTGTGAAGGTTTTGGTTTAATTCATGCTCTCGTTTTGTTGCGAACTAGTGGAGAGAGGGAGGAAAAGAAGAAATTTATCTGAAATCCACAAATGCAACCAAATAAGACTTTTTTCTTTAAATTATATGCACTTCAGAGCTGGGTGTGGTGGTACACGCCTGTATCTAGTCACTTGGAAGGCTGAGGCAGGAGGACTGCTGTGAATTTGAGGCCAGCCTGGCCTACATAGTGAGTTTAAGGCCAGCCTGAACTATATAAGCGAGATCTTATCTCAAAAAAACCTAAATTTGTCAGTCAGTCAGTCAATCATATGCACATCAGGACTATAAATAAGAAATCAGGCCAGGTAAAAAGCTTATCCTGTTAATGAATGATGATGTTACTTTTAATGAACTTGGATCAGAGGCAAGGTTAGGGCCAACTGTAATATCTTATAAAAAATGATGAAATACCATTACTTGAAGCTAATTTTAACCCCTACTTTTTTTTTTTTTTAACCAGGGATTGAACTTGCTTGTGAGGCAGGCAGCAGAACCACTGAGCTAAACCGCACGTCCTTAACCCCTACTTTAAACTGTTATAAGGTCAATACCCTCCACAAATCCAGATCAGGTGGTCTCCAGCATTTGTCATTAGCAGTAGTTATTGCATCATACTGATATTGGTGAGATATAACTCCCAGACCGCTAGATGTCAGATATGCCAAGTCCATGTCCCCTGAAATCAAAGAATGAATTTTGAGAAACAACGGGGTTAAGAATAGCAGGTTTATTAGCTGGGCGTGGTGGTGCACGTCTGTAATCCCAGCACTTGGGAGGCTGAGGCAGGAGGATTGCTGTGAGTTTGAGACCAGCCTGGGCTACATAGTGAGTTCCAGGTCAGTCTCAACTATGTAGTGAGACCCTGTCTCAAAGAACCAAAAAGCTGTGGATTGAAAATATGCTCCAGGTTTGAGGATTTAGCTCACTTTTTCTGCCACCTGCCTTGTAAGCACAAGGACCCGAGTTCAATCTCCAGTACCCAAAAAAAAAACCAGAATAGGAGGTTAATGGGCCTTGCAAGCTCAAGGTCCCGAGTTCAATCTCTGGTACCAATAAAAAAGAAGGAAAAAAAAGAAAAAGAATAGGGGGTTAAGAGTTAAACAACAGAGTTTAAGATTTATTGAGAGGCTGCTCAGTGTTCCTTAGAGGAGGGGACCTGAAAGTGGGTTGCCACTGAGGCCACTTCTCTAAGAATGTTTCATAGAACAAAATCACAAGGTGGGTCAAACTGTATTCAACCAGTACGATTACAAGTACAGCCACTTAGCTAATACTGATCCAGTAGGGAAGTAGATCATGTGGCAAGGGTACATGGAAAGAACAAAGGCATTTTTGGGAAGGGGTGGATCTAGATGATCTGGTCACCCACTTGGGTGACTCATGTCTATCTGGATTTTTTTTTTTTTGACAGAGTCTCACTATGCAGTTGAGACTGACCTGGAAATCACTATGTAGCTCAGGCTGGTCTCGCACAGAGATCCTCCTGCCTCAGCCTCCCAAGTGCTGGGATTACAGGCGTGCACCACCACGCCCCACTTGTCTATCTGGATTTTACTGGAGCTGGTGATACCAATATAGTGTATTCCAGGTTATGGTTTATCTCTTAAGGAGATCTCTGGTCAGTGTATCATTATTTTGAGGCCTGGCCTTCAACAAATGCACCTCCATTCTAATGTCTTTATTTTTTCTGTTGAGTTTCTTGAGAGCTTATTCCCTCTCTGACTGTATATTAATTTCTATCTAACTTGGCTGCCTATAATAATATAATAATAAAATTTTAAGTCTGGCTGGATGTTGTATTGCACACCTGTAATCCCAGCAGGATCACTGAAAGTTTGAGGCTAATGTGGGCTACGAAATGAGTTCAAGGCCAGCGAGACTCTGTCTTAAAAGAAGAAAAGAAATTTTAAGACTGAACATGAGCTGTGCTAGATGTGCCTAAGGATAGACCTAAAAGACCCTTCATGAATCCCATCCATAGAGAGGTCAGAGATAAGCAACACAAAAAATCATATAGATTTTTCATTTAGTTAAATAGGATTTTTTTTTTTATAGACAGTCTGAGGTAGATTTAGTGGTTTTTCCAAATAGACAGCTGGGTAGTGAGAGAATGGGGGCTCAACTCTATCATGTGCCATACATATCACTACCATCACAGGGAAAATGAAGAGATGATCTCTGTTCTCTGGAGTTTATACTCTGTTAGGTGGGAGGGCACAAGCATGTGACATAATCAAGCAAAATGAAAGCCCATTTTAAGAACAAATTAGAAAACAATAATTAGAATAATACACCTAACTGAGAAGGAAAGAGGAACCAGATGAAGTGATAGGAAGGAAACACTTCAGAAAAGGAGATGTTTGGCTGAGTGTGGTGGCACATGCCTGTAATCTCAGCACTCGGCAGGCTGAGGCAGGAGTATCGCTGTGATTTAGTGACCAACCTGGGCTAGATAGTGAGTTCCAGGGCAGTCTGAACTACATAGTGAGACCCTGTCTCAAAAAAACAAAAAAAGAAAAAAGAAAAAAAGAAAGAAAAAGAAAAGGAGATGTTTGAATAAGATTTTTGTATTAAGGATGTCAGTAGTTGTTTTTGTGGATACAGTCTAATACATTGATTTTCTTAAGCAACTTTAGAGACAAATACCCGTGAAATGTATTTTTAGTGATGTTAAAATGTCTCCCTATTAGTAAGCTAATAAATCTGTAAAGAGTTTTTTATTAAATCCACTTACATTTTAAATGAGGAGTTTGTTAAAAGATGCTTAGGACAAGACAGGAGTGTACTGTTGGGGAAATGTGAGGGTCAGAACCACAGTACATCTGGAACAGGTAGAGGGGCCCTGCCACCAGAGAGCATTTGGTCAGAGAAGCTTCAGGAGGCTCAGCTGTGGGAACTTGTGGGTAGTCATAATGAGTTGATAGGAATAATATTTACTAAGCCTAGCTACATGCAGTCCACTATGACATTATTCATTTAGGCCTTATGACAACTCAAGAAGATAGAAACTCCCCTTCATGCAAATGAACAGATAAACCCTGAGAGGCTGTGTCTTGCCCACAGTCATATAGCTGGGAAATGGCAGAGCCAAGTTCTTACTAACACTTCACTAATAACATGACTCAGAGAATCTCTGTGTAAACGCCTCTCTGTTTCTGTCAGCAACCACTTTTCACTTCTGTTCCTTTTCTTTTTGTTTCTTTTGGTTTTTTGAGACAGGGTCTCACTGTGTAGTTGAGACTGACCTGGAACTCACTATGTAGCCCAGGCTGGTCTCAAACTCACAGCAATCCTTCTGCCTCAGCCTCCCAAGTGCTGGGATTACAGGCATGCGCCACCACGCCTGACTTTCTGTTCCTTTTCTTTGGTTTAGGTTTCTCTTTTCTGAGCTGATGCACTTGTAACTCCAGTTTTCTTATGGGCCATCATTATTCATATCTCACAATATGGCCTTTCTCTCTACATACTTGGTATTAAAGATTTCTAACTACTAACTGCTTTATTTTCCCTGCTTCCCCCCCCCCACTTCGTGTGTGTGTGTGTGTGTTGCTAGAGAACACAACTAGGGCTTGGATACTAGGCAGGTGCTCTGTCTCTAAACTGTGTCCATACCCTTTATTGATATTTTTTTATTGTTTTGAAACAAGGTCTTGCTACATTGCTACATTTCCCAGGCTGTCCATGAGCTCCAGGACTCAAGTGATCAATCTTCCTACTTCAACCTAATTTACATCAGTGTGCATGGTGTGTGTGGGGAGTGGCGGGGTACTGGGATTTAACCCATGGCCTTTGTTCTGAGCTATACCCAACCCTCGAGTCCTTTTTTATTTTTCACTTACTCTAAATCACCCAACCAGGCTAGTCTCAAACTTGCAGTCCTCTTGCCTCAGCTTCAAAGAGTGCTGGGGTTACTGGCATGTGCCACTATTGGCTACATTTTTTGTTCTCTTTTTGGTACTGGGGATTGAACTCAGGACCTTGAGCTTGTGAGGCAAGCACAGTGCCATTGAGGTAAAGCCCCAGCCCCAAAGGTTTACAGCTCTCCAAGCCCTTCCTTCCTTCCTTCCTTCCTTCCTTCCTTCCTTCCTTCCTTCCTTCCTTCCTTCCTTCCTTCCTCTCTTTTTTGTACCAGGGATGGGCTCAGGACTTTGCACTTACATGGCAGTTTTGGTGCCACTGAGCTAAATCCTTGGCCCTCTGACTACCACGTTTTTCAAGAACAGTGGTGTTTACAAATACTTTACATTTCCCGCTGGGCATGGTGGCACACACCTGTGTAATCCCAGCACTCGGGAGGCTGAGGCAGGAGGATCACTGCAAGTTCAAGACCAGCCTGGGCTGTACAGTGAGTTCCAGGGCAGTCTGAACTACATAAACCCTGTCTCAAAAAAACAAACAAAACAAAACAAAACAAAACTTTACATTTCCTTCTTTAATGACAGACCCTTGGATATTTAAGCAATTTTTTTTGGTACCAGGGATCAAACTCAGGATCTTGCACTTGTAAGGCAGGTGGCAGCACCACTGAGCTAAATCACTGGCCGTAAACAATTTTTTTAGAGACAAAGTCTTCCCATGTAGTGCAGGCTGGCTTTGAACTCACAGTGTAGTCCAGGCTGGTCTCAAACTCATACCAGTCCTCATGCCTCAGGCTCCTAAGTTATAGGCATGTGCCACCAGCCTGATATTTAAGCAATTTTATAGTGAAGTGTTACTATATTTCCTTTTTGTTATACTTATAGTGTATTCTAATTTTGAAATTAAAAACTATGAAAATTAAGAGCATCATCAACTCAGGATGAATAACATATTTAAATATTTTATT